CGCTGTCTGCCTCCTCCGTTCAGAACGGGTAGCGACTCCGTTGCTGACTGGTATCTTCGTCGTCGTTGCTAATTTCGTTTGGTAAGCGAAATTTGCTTTATAATTCGGAACAGATCAAGAGCTATCAATCAAACTGATTCATGTACTATCTCGAAAGACTGCGAAGAGTTAGAAAAAAATAAAGCAAAGAAACCAGATTTTACTCTCAGCCGATATAGGATCAAAGTCGGTTGTTGCGCTAAAACAGCAGTATCTACGAAAAATGAAGGAGCATTTACCATCTACAGCCATCTATCAAAAGGAGCGAAAAAATGCAGTCCACCGAAGATCAGGAATCTGGTTAAGAATGCTCTACATCCACTGGTTTTGGAAGGCAAGCTAAGGGAGAACATTGCAAATAGTTTGACCCAGACCGCTGACACCGGCAGTCTACCCAAAACCATATGGCCTGGGAAAACTCAATATGTCAGACTCATAGTTCCAATGGTTGGCAACTTACAATCAGACTTTCAATACCGACTGCCGAAGCCAGTATTGGGGGATCTTTTACAAGCAAGAAAAGCAAAAAGGACGATAATCCTGGCCCGTTAGATATGGCGCTTTTGTTCGTCGTGGCGTTGTACGATAATTTCGTCATTGAATGTTTACCTGATATGGTTCTAGATGTTGTAACCAATGCTGCAGAGTCATCTGAAGGAAAGACAATCTTGCACTGATTTAGCTGAGCCCAGAAGACATGATCAATATAATAACCTGCAGTGTTCATTTTAAATTTGAAAATGTAATGTCAGACAGCGTTGTGGTATCCTGATGTGTTCTCCTGTTAGTGTGACCTTAGCCGCAATCTATATGAATCATCTGGAGTGTCCAGCACCCTTTCTATCTGTTAACCTTACCTCAAAAATGTATGAAATTTATGAATTATAGGTGAAATTTTCATTTTGCATAATGATACTATTAATCTTCAGCTACTGTATGAATATTTAAATAACAAAGACCCTAATAATAATGACAATTTATTATAATGTAGATCCTAATATAAATCAGAGCACGAACACAATAACGAGACGGCGTTTCTTGGTATTCTTATTAAGCGAGACGCCCCTGGTACATTCTTTTTAACAGTATATAGAAAACCGCAGCATTTTAACCATTTTCTTAAAACTACATCCTACGCTCTCACATCTTTCTTCATCAATGTCTTGAAATCATCCCTCACAGGGCTTCAAGCTATTGCAGTGGTGATTGACTTTCCAGGAGTGAAATTAAGCACCTTTCATCGACCTTCCTTAGAAATGGATGTGCCAAATACTTTATTGATTCTGTATTTATACAAATGCCCAAGTTTGGTCCCGCTCTTTCTGACTGTAATTCTCTGATTTCGATACCATATATCAGGCATATCCGAGGAATTTATACGATATTTCAAAACCCATGGTCTCAACGTACTCTCTGCAGAGACAAAACCTCAGCAAGCCAACTGTAAAAAAGCTTAATCCTCACCCAAGCTTGGAGAGTAAAAACTTCATCTCTCAGATAGCTTGCAGTAGCGGTGACCAGAAATAAATCGGCAAAACCTGCCGAGCATGGGAAACTAGATTAACGGAAAACAGAAAAGCCATCAGATACCGTAACTTTGATCATGCTGGTTTTGTTGCTCATGTCTTGGAGAATTATCATGACTTTAAAAACAGTAATGTAATGGTGGTCGCCAGACATCGGGAGAAGATGAAGCTGTCAATCAAAAAGTCGCTACACATCGCTTTCGGCAGAAAGAGATATTGCAACGATTGCATTGGCTCCATTAACATTTTCAAGACGAATAACATGAATAATAGCTTAAGTGGCGATCAGTCTAACGTCCAACTAATCGAGTCAAGCGTCAACTGACCCAGCAGTTCTGTTTTTGTTTCGTGTTCATTCACTGATGATTACCTATGCCAATTTGGTCGAAAAGTTAAAAGTTTCATACATAAAAGTACTGTTTCTCGTGCTGCCAACCATGTGATCAGAAGACCTATCACCATCAAGCCATCTGTGACACCGTATCGTTATAAGCCTTAGAAATTATTTAGGTAACATATAGATAACGAGAAACTGCTAAGACTTTCAGGTAAGCAGTATATTCATCGATCAAATCGTCCAGTCAGTGCAAAGTTTCGCAATAATCAATGGTGCAAGGGTGGCAGCTCAGTCAATTCAGCAACAGTCGTGCTTTGAATAAAGTCCTACCCTACAATGCTTAGAGAAAGTATAAATTTCTGACTTTTCTTATGGAAGGTGTAAAGGATACAGATATAAACATCTGGCAGTATGCAAGTATCGGTATTCCAGACAACAGCACAA